CTCCACACACATAAGGCCACTCCACAAGATAGAGATCAAAGCAGGTCAATCTAATACATAGAAACAAACAAAGAGACAACTAAAATGGGGAGACACAGAAAGAAGCCCCAAACAAAAGCAAAAGAGGAATCTCTAGAAAAAGAGCTAAAGAAAATCAAGGCATGCAATTTATCAGATGTAGAGTTCAAAGTAATGATTATAAGAATGCTCAAAAAACTTAGCGAGAACTACAGGGAACATAGTGAGAAGTATGTCGTCAGCATGAAAAAGGACATAGAAAAGTTCAATAACCAGCTGAAAATAAAGAATTTAGTATCAGAAATGAATACACTAGAAGGAAATAAAAAGCCAGCTAGATGATGCAGAGGATCAAATCTGTGAGCTGGAAGACAAGGTAGAAAAAGAAACACCTAATCAAAGCAACAAAATGAAAAAAGACTCCAGAAGAATGAGGATGTTTAATAGAGTTTTGGGACAACATGAAAAGTAACAATATCAGCCTCATAGGGATACCAGAAAGAGAAGAAAGGGAGCAAGGGATAGAAAACCTATTTGAAGAAATAATGACATAAAACTTCCCTAATTTGGTTAGGGAGAGAGTCACTGCAAATTCAGGAAGCACAAAGAGTCCCAGTCAAGATGAAACCAAAGAGACTCACAGAAATATACATCACAATTAAAGTGGCAAATTTAAAGACAAAGAGAGAATCTTAAAGTTAGCAAGAGAGAAGCTTCTAATTTTTTACAAAGGAACTCTGATAAGGCTATCAGGTGATTTCTAAACAGAAATACTACAGGACAGTAGAGATTGGTATAAAATATTCCAAGTAAAGAAATTCAAAGACCTGCAACCAAGATGACTACTCTATCTGCAAGGTTCTCATTTAAAAAAGAAGACAAATGAAGAGTTTCCCAAATTAAAGAAAAAAGTCTAATGGAATGTTGTTCCACAAAACCAGCATTGCAAGAGATGCTAAAAGGACTGAGATAAGAAGAAGTAGCTTTGGCTGGCATAGCTCAGTGGATTGAGCAGGGGCCTGTAAACCCAAGACTTGCCAGTTTGATTCCCAGTCTAGGGCATATGCCTGGGTTACAAACTAGGTCACCAATAGGGGAGCATGTAAGAGGCAACCACACCTTGATGTTTCTCTCACTCCTTTCTTCTCCTTCCTTTCTCTCACTATAAAAATAAATAAACAAAACCCTTAAAAAACTAAGAACAAGTTAAAAAAAGAAGTAGGGAGTGAGGAAAACAAGGACAAAGGTGGAAATGGAAATGAATAAGTATCTATCAATGATAACTTTAACTATAAATAAATTAAGTGATCTAATCAGAGATATAGAGTAGTTGAATGGATAAAAATCACACCTTGTATATATGCTACCTACAAGAGAAACACCTCAGAAAAGTATATTTACACAGTCTAAAAGTGAGGGGGTGGATAAAGATTCCATCCCTTTATTTCATGCAAATGGATGTGAAAAAAATTGGGGAAATAATACTTATATGAGACAAAATATATTTCAAAACAAAGACCACAACACAGACAAAGAAAGTCACTACATAATACTTAAGACAGTAGTCCAACAAGAAAATATAAGTTTTATAAACATATATGCACCTAATATAGGAGCACCTAAATATGAGTAAATCAAGAAATTTTTGGAGTAGTTCAAGAAAGAGATCAACAGCAATACAGACATTGTAGAAAATTTTAACACCCACTGTCAACAATAGACAGATCTTCCAGACAAATATTCAACAAGAATATAGCAGCATTAAATGACACACTGGATCACATGGACTTAATTGATATTTCCAGAATATTTCATCCCAAAGAAGCAAAATATATATTCTTCTCAAGTGCACATGGATCATTTTCAATGATAGGCCACACTGTAGGACACAAAATAAGCCTTAACAAATTCAAGAAAATCTAATTCACGTCAAGCACATTCTTGGATTACAATGGCTTGAAACTAAAACTCAACTGCAAAAAAAAGCATTCAAATACATGGAGGCCAAATAACATGTTGTTAAATAATGAATGGGTTAATAGTAAGATCAAGGAAGAAATCAAAAAGTACTTGGAAGCAAAGGAAAATGATCACACATCATCCTGAAACTATGTGACACAGCAAAAACAGTCCCGAGAAAGAAGTTCATTGCATAACAGGTCTACCTAAAGAAGGCAGAAACATCTCCAATAAACAATCTATGTGTACACCTAAAATAAAAAACTAGAGAAAAATAACAAAGACCAGAAGAAATAGAAAGAAGGAAATAATCAAGATAATAGCAGTTTTAACTGACCCAAAGACAGAAAAAAATTTTCAAAGGATCAATGAATGTAGGAGCTAATTCGTTAAAAAGACAAACAAAATTAACAAACCTTAACCAGATTAATTATAAAAATAAAAATGAAAGAGAGAGGACCCAAATAAATAATATTAAAACTGAAAGAGGAGAAGTAACAAAGGATACAACAGAAATACAAAAGATTGTAAGAAATTACTGTGAACACTTAAATGCTAAGAAATTGGAAAACCTAGGTGAAATGGATATATTTCTAGCCACATTCAGCTTTCAAAGCTGACTCAAGAAGCAGCAGAAAATCTGAATAGACTGATGACAACTAGTGAAATTGAAGCAATAATCAAAAAACTGCTGGCACACACACACAAAAAACCCTGGGCCAGATATCTTCACAAGCAAATGTTACCATCTATTCAAAGAAGAACTAACACCTATCCCTCTCAAACCATTCCAAAAAAATTGAAGAAGAGGGAAGACTCTCAATCTCTTTTTAGGAGACCAGTATTAAGCTAATCCCAAAACCAGGTAGACACAACAAAGAAAACTACAGGCCAATAACTTTGATGACTATAGATGCTAAAATCCTCAACAAAATACTAGCAAACCAAATCCAGCAATACATTAAAAAGATCATACACCATGATCAAGTAAGATTTATTCCAGGAATAAAAGGATGGTTCAATGTTTATAAATCAAGTATGATACACCACATAAACAAAAATGAAGGACAAAAATCACATGATCATATCAATAGATGCAGAAAAAGCATTTGATAAGGCACAACATCCATTTATGATGAAATCACTCAGCAAATTGGGGAGAGAGATGGCATACCTCAACATAATAAAGGCTATATACTTAAAACCTAATGCCAACATTGTGCTTAAGAAAAAACTAAAAGATCTTTCCCTAAGATGGAAAGTAGACCCAGGTGTCTGCCTTTACCATTCTTATTCAGCATAGTACTGGAATCCCTATCCATAGCAATTAGACAAGAAGAAGAAATAAAAGTCATTAAAATTGGAAAGGGGAAGTAAAACTGTCATTATTTACAGATGACAGGATAATGCACATAGAAAAGCCTACACACCCTATGAAAAAGACTACTGAACCTAATAAGTGAATTTGGCAGAGTAGCGGGATACAAAGTCAATGTTCAGAAATTAATGGCATTTTGTACACCAACAATGAACTATCAGAATGAGAAACTAAGAATGGAAATCTCATTTACTACAGTCAAATCAACAACAAAATACCTAGGAAATAATTTACCCAAGGAAGTCAATGATCTGTACTTGGAAAAGTAGACAGCACTGAGGAAAGAAAATAAGGAAGATACAAATAAATGGAAGCATATACTGTATTCATGGAATGGAAGAATTAACATCATTAAAATGTCCATATTACCCAAAGCAAGCTATGGATTCAATGCAATTCCTACTAAAATACCCATGGCACATTTCACAGATCTAGAACAAATATTCCAAAAATGCATATTGAACCATAAATGACCCTGAACAGCCTCAACGATCTCGAGAAAGAAGGCAAAAGTTGAGGGGATCACAATACCTCATATGAAAATATTGATCAATACAGCTTGGTACTGGCATAAAAACAGACACACAGATCAGTGCAACAGAAGAGACAACCCAGGAAGGAACCCTGGGTCTCTGTCCTCTATCATCCTGACCAGGGTGATTTAAGCTATTCTCTGGTCAGGGAAGAGAGGTGTAAACCATTTATGCTCAAGTGCCCTTTGCTAAGGAAGATAAGATTTTGCGGTTTATAAGCTGGCTGTAAATTGGCCAAATCATTTGGCCTTGTTTAAGTGTATTGTTTCTGTCTCTCCATTTCACTTGCCCAGGAATTTTCCTAGCTTCTCAATATCCAACTCAGAATGGGCTTCAACTTTCCAGCTGCATTTTTGCCCTTTGCTCTCACATAGGGAGCCTACTCTTGCCTGTCTAAATTGCCCATAAAGTTTTGGAGATACAAAAAAACCACCTTTAAGTGAGGATTTCTAATAAGATCACTGGATGGAACTGGAGAGGATTATGCTAAGTGAAATAAGCCAGGTGGTGAGGAACAAACACCATATGATCTCCCCTTTAACCAGAACATAATCAACAAAAGAAAAAAGCAAACAAAATATAACCAGAGATATTAAAATGAGGATCAATCTAAGAATAGCCAGAAGGGAGGGCGGAGGAGACACTAGGGGGAAAAGTTTGGGAAAACTATTATAAAGGACACATGGACAAAACCAAGTCATGGTGGAAGAAAGGGAGAGAGGTGGGACTGGGTGGGGTTGCGGGAGGGGGAGCAATGGGGGATAATGCCGACAACTGTAAGTGAACAACAATAAAGTAATTTTAATGAAAGATCACTGGAACCAAAAAACTGCCATCTGTGTTTTGCCCGGCTTTTATAATGAAATCAGAAGCAAAAGGAAAAGTCAGTGTAAAAAGTCTTCATTTATTCTGCATAATTACTTTCTGTTAGTTAATTCTAGCTGTTTTTCATGGGCTTTTTGTTCCATTCTATTTCCTCCCATAAGCTACAGTAAAAAGCCTTTCTCTCCACCTTTAGTGTTCAAAACAACAAACTTTATATAGCTTAATCATTAACTTTATACTGCTCTGTAAACATCACCTTTCATTTTCTTAGTCCTTATAACCAGTTATTCTGGTTGACTATAAAAACATACAGGGTGAAACTTCCACTAACCAATTACTATAGAAACGAAATCCGGACCTCAAGCTCCTCAAGACAATTGCCTGGTAAGTGATTTATCAGAGGTCTCTAAAGTGCTGATATTTTGTCTAAAACTACATTTAATATTCAAAATTAGAGAATGAGAACTGGAAAATTCTACTGTGGGTATTTTGACTTAAAAAGAGAAGTATTTGGGAATTATTGGGTCCTGATTTCTTATCATAAATAGACAGAATTGTATTTCATATGTAAAATTGTGCTGAGGTAGTCTGCTCTACTGATTTTAAGTTGATAAAACTAAATATTCTTTTCAAAGTTTTTAGTCTTTTATCATCTCAGCATTTCTATGTAGTTTAAAAATATTCTTGTAAAAAACACTGCTAGAATTAGTTCTTAAAAATTTTATGTGTGGAAACACAAAAATCAGATCTTGCCCAAAATGACTTTCACAAGCCTGCTTTTGAGTGTATCTCAAGATTCTCAAAAAAAAAAAAAGTATACTGAGGCTAGAAAATATGTTCTCCATTAATCAATGCTTTATTTCCTATTTCAAAAATATTTTAACTGTATGAAATATTTTTCACTTCAATATATATTCAATTTGTTTGATCATTAAATCAGGGAACCACTATAGTCATATAGAAATTCTTCAAATTTCTCAAAATCGATTACTGTTTCAAAGGTTTTGAAACAAGATTTATTTTTTTTTACATGCACTCTCTCATCGTCACTTTTTAAAAAGATTTTATTTATTTATCTTTAGAGGAGAAGGGAAGGGGAGAGGGAGAGAGATATCAATGTATGATTGCCTCTCATATGTTCCCTGCTAGGAACTGGCTGACAACCCAGGCATGGGAATCAAACCATGATCCTTTGGTTTGCAGGCCTGTGTTCAATCCACTGAGCTACATCAGCCAGAGCTAAATTTAAGTATTTTTTAAATGGACATTCTCAATTAAGTGATTTTATTCCTATCCCTGATTGTAGACATTTCTAAAACATAACATCTGAGTTTACCTTAAAAAGTAACTTATATATGGCATCACAAACCAGTGACCTGGGTGGCCCTACCCTGGTGAACAACTAAGACTCTGCTCCTCATATGTAACAGGCACAAACAAATCAAAACATGGCTCAAGAACAATTCAGAGCCCCAGAATCGATAAATCTAAGCAATGAAGAAATAGCCAAACTTTCAAACACACAGTTCAAAACACTGGTGATCAGGATGCTCACAGAACTGGTTGATTTTAGTCACATATAGAGGAACATATGAAGGCTAAACTAATTGAAATGAATGGAATTGCACAGGAAACCAATAGTAATGGAAAGGAAATTGGGACTCAAATCAAAGAAGTAGACCAGAAGGAGGAAAAAAGTGACCAAACAGAAAAGTATGAAGAAACAAGAATTTAAAAAAATGAGGAGAGGCTTAGGAACCTTCAGGACATCTTTAAACGTTCCAACATCAGAATTATAGGGGTACCAGAAGGGGGAGAGGAACAGCCACCAGTGGAAAACTTATTTGAACAAATAATAAAGGAGAACTTCCCCAATCTGGCAAAGGAAATAGACTTCCAGGAAATCCAGGAAGCTCAGAGAGTCCCAAAGAAGTTGGACCCAAGAAGGAACACACCAAGGCACATCATAATTATATTAGCCAAAATTAAAATGAAGGAGAGAATCCTAGAAGCAGCAAGAGCTAAGGGGACAGTCACCTACAAAGGAGTCCCCATCAGACTGTCAGTGGATTTCTCAAAAGAGACCTTACAGGTAAGGAGGGGCTGGAAAGAAGTATTCCAAGTCATGAAATCCAAAGACCTACAACCAAGATTACTCTATCCAGCAAAGCTTTCATTTAGAATGGAAGGACAGATAAAGTGCTTTTCAGATAAGATCAAATTCAAGGAGTTCATCATCATCAAGCCCTTATTATATGAAATGTTAAAGGGACTTACCTAAGAAAAAGAAGATAAAAAAGATGAACAGCGAAAGGACAGCAAACTCACAGTTATTAACAATCACATCTAAAACAAAAGCAAACTAAGAGGACAGCTAGATCAGGAGCAGAACCATAGAAATGAAGACCACATGGAGGGTTAGCAACAGGGGAGTGGGAGGAGGAGAAGGGGGGAGAAGGTACAGAGAATAGGTAGCATAGATGGTAGGTAGAAAATAGGGGGGAGGGCAAGAATAGTAGGGGAAATATAGAATCTAAAGAACTTGAGACAGGTGATCATAAACTAAAAGGGGAATGGTGAGGGAGGGGGTGTGCAGGGTGGAGGGGAATGAAGGGGGAAATAGAACAACTATAATGGCATAATTAATAAAATATATTTTTAAAAAGTAACTTATATAAAACAGTGACATACACACCACAAAATAGTTGAGGGTGGCAGTGGAAACTTTTAATAATTAAAATGTGTACATAAAAAAGGATGGAATAAAAGTTTTTATTTATTTCTACTTAAGATGTCACGTGATAATATTTTACAATGTCCCGTGGGTATGCATGTGTATATGTCCATATAACATACACATATACAATACATTATCTTTCCCACACATATAAATACACAAATAGTATTTGCAATTCATTTTAGGGGAATTCTAATATGCCAGTGTATATAGTTTTTCTGAATCATATTTAGATTGTCTTTCTTCACAAAATAGGGCAGAGTGAAACCTGTATTTTATAGGTAATAATAATATTAATAATAGCTGCCCTTTACCAAATATATACCATGTTTTATCAACATACACATTATATTTATTATATTATTTCTCTACCACAATAGCTGCATAAAGTTAGTAAATCTTCACTTCCATTTTTAAGATTAGAAAATTGAATTCAGCATTTTGATTTGCCCAGAGTCACATTGGTAGTGAATAACAGGTCTAGCATACTAATTATAAATCTGGAGACCTTAGAGTCTTGACTGCTAAACAGGTTCATGAAAAAAAAGCTGCTTTTCACAGGGATACTTAAAAAAATCAGATTTGTGAGTCAGTTGGATCTGGAAAATTCAAGGAGAAGACAGACTCTAAGATGACTTCCAGATTTCAGACTTGAGTGGTGAGGTGAATGTGGTATCACTAAATGACAAGATACATAGTGACTCTAGGACAAGAACTGGTCACTGAAGAGCAAGGTTCATGAGTTAAATTTATGATTATTAAATTCGAGATGTCTAAGAAACATCAGGCAAAAGTGGACAATAGCATTTGAATATGTAGGTCCCAGAACAAACAAATGATAACTGCCTTGTGGAGGATCAGCTCACAGGCAGTGGTTAAAATCATGGAAATGTGTGTACAATAACAGAGCCAACTAGGAACTATGGGACTCCAAGGAAAACAACAATTCTGTCCTAAATATTCCTTTGAAAAATTGAGAAGAAAAGAGATAAAAGATCGACCAGAATGTGGTAACAGAAACATCAAGAAAGTGTCAGAAGGATATATGGTCAAAAATATCAAATACCATACTTAAGGATAGTTTGAAATCATGGAGCAACATGCCTGTCCAGCTTTGTTCTTCTTTCTTGAGAATTTTTTTTGTTACTTCGGTGGGGGGGCAACTTTCCTTGAGAGTCCCCCTGTGTGCCACAGATGAGAGTAAGCATGACAGAGACATGATGTGATCTGCTTAAGGAGGAGAGTTAGCCAGCTTCTCAGAGGAAAAAGGCCTTGAGCAGTGGCCAGTTTCTCAGGGGAAAAAGGCGTTGAGCCCCCTCCTCCAGGGACTTTATTGGGTTGTAATACACCAGAATACAGGGGGGCAAGGATCAAATGGTAGATAACATTTCAAAGAAATCTGAGAGCTCAGTCTGAGTCAGAGTCTGTCAGGAACAGAGTTTTAGGGTTTCATACTGGAACCATTAACATATGAATGAAAGCACTCTTAGCAGAGCAGATTTCACAAGTTTTTCAGGAATTCTTTGTGATGCCAGATTTTCCCCAGGACACCCTCTAGCAAGGCAAGGAGCTGCGCCCCTCCTCATCAGGTATTCAGGCTTAAGGGGATTAGAGCCAGGAAGCGCTTCTCCCAGAGTACATGGGGACTCAGGCTATCTCAAAGCCGGAGGGTGGGGGGCAAGAGTCCATTGCTCTTTGATGCAGCACCCCCCACCCCGAGTCCTTCCATGATGGCCTTTCAAGTGATTGTGTCTGGCCTAAGTTGCTCCTTCTCTGAGGGGTCTTACCCGCCATGAACTGCGGACCATGCTTTGGGGGCAGGGAGGAAACTGAGGCAGCATTTGCTACCAGACACCAGCTTTGTCTCCTGTGGATCACATTACAGAGGTCCTCACTTGCCCTTAGCCACAGGAGGTTGAGTTACAATTCCTAGAAGCAGGCAGAGTGGTCCATAACACTTTGGATCTTTTTTGGTTCCATAAAAATTTTAGGATTTTTCTATTTTTGTAAAAGATGTCATTGGAATTTTGATAAGGATTTCATTGAATCTGTAGATTACCTTGGGTGGTATAGCCATGTTCATTCTTCCAATCCATGAGCACAGAATATCTTTCCATGTATTTGTGGGGTTTTTCAGTTTCTTTCTTCTAGTTTCTTACAGTTTTCACTATATAGGTCTTTTACTTATTTGGTTAAATTTACTTCTAGGTATTTTATTTTTTAATGCTATTACAAATGGGGTTATTTTATTCATTTCTCTTTGTGATATTTTTTATTAGTGCATAGATTTAAAACACATTTTTATGTATGATTTTGTATCCTGCAATTTCAAAACCTTTTAAAATCAAAAGGGACTTGGATGAGGTAGGAGAAGGGTGGAAAATAAAGAAATAAAAAAGAAGATAAAATATTGGCACTTTGGAAAAGGTGCAAGCTAAGTTATATCCATGGACTTCAGAGACTTCTGAATTTAATTACTGCAGAAAGATTCAGCAGCTCTAAAGGGCCTCAGGAAGGCTTTTAAATTATTTTCTTAGAACTTTAGAGAAAGAAAAATAACCATTCAGCTCATGCTAAATTGGGAAGCAATGTGTTTTGGAGTAGGATTTAAGTTATATTTCAGGCTTTTTCACTTTTTTACACGTGACATCTGAAGAATATAAAATGGCTTATGATATCACTAATGATAAAAAGTTCGTCACATCAATGTACTTCCAGTGCTACACTTACCTCAGGTTCTATTCTTCTTGACCCTCTTTTATTCTTATAGTCTCTTATAGATAACTTGGAATGATTTACTTTTACCAGCCCAGGCAATTTTTTAAGAGAAAGAAGTAGCCTACCAGGTTAGGCTACTGCTGGTTTAATAGTTAAGGCTGCTCAATGCCATTATGGGGCCTATTTAGATTCCCACTGCAATGAAGTAGCAGTGTGGTGGTAAAGAAAGACACTTCAAAGTCCTGTAGCTTTATTACATGTCCCAGAAGTCTCTGCCTGAGGAAAAGCTGTACACAATAAAGTACACATAAAAGTACTGATGATATTACTGTATAAACAGTGAACATGAAAATAAATGGTGTAAGCCCTCAATGGATTTTAAAAGACATTTTTTCCTTCTGCTAATTAATAATGCACAGTAGTCCTGTGATCTGATGCTGCTGGAATCTAGAGGAATGGAATATTATTTCATTTAATAAAACTCATTTTTATTTGATCCATGCTATTAAAACAAAGACTTTTTAACTTGTGCCCTTTTATGTAAAATCCAGTCTCTCAGAAATGGATGACAAGCCAAGTCTCTACAGAAGGGAGTTAGTGGATGTTCAGGGTGTCCCTCTCTTCTGGGGCATTGCTGAGGAGTGGTCCCAGGTGGAGTCATTTGAATCCCGACCAGATGACCTTTTGATCTCCACCTACCCCAAATCTGGTAAGAGATATTTAAAGTTTATTTCTACAGTTGACCTTTGAACAGTATGGATTTGAACTGCAAGGTCCACTTATATATGGATTTTCTTTTTTTTAATTTATTTTTTAATTGATTATGCTGTTACAGTTGTTCTATTTCCTCCCTTCATTCCCCTCCACACTACCCCCCCATCCCCACCATTACCCCCCTTTAGTTTATGACCATGCATCTCAAGTTCTTTAGATTCTATATTTCCCATGCTATTCTTGCCCCCATCTATTTTCTATCTACTGTCTATGCTACTTATTTTCTGTACCTTCTCCCCCCTTCTCCTTCTCCCACTCCCCTGTTGCTAACCCTCCATGAATCTTCATTTCTATGTTTTCACTCCTGATTTAGCTGTCCTTTTACTTTGCTTTTGTTTTAGGTGTGGTTGTTAATAACTGTGAGTTTGCTGTCCTTTCACTGTTCATGTTTTTTTAACTTCTTTTTCTTAGATAAGTCCCTTTAACATTTCATATAATAAGGGCTTGGTGATGATGAACTCCTTGAATTTGGTCTTATCTGAGAAGCACTTTATCTGTCCTTCCATTCTAAATGAAAGTTTGGCTGGATAGAGCAATCTTGGTTGTAGGTCATTGGATTTCATCACTTGGAATACCTCTTTCCAGCCCCTTCTTGCCTGTAAGGTCTCTTTTGAGAAATCCACTGACAGTCTGATGGGCACTCCTTTGTAGGTGACTGTCCCCTTAGCTCTTGCTGCTTCTAGGATTTTCTCCTTCATTTTAATCTTGGCTAATGTAATTATGATGTGCCTTGGAGTGTTTCTTCTTGGGTCCAACTTCTTTGGGACTCTCTGAGCTTCCTGGATTTCCTGGAAGTCTATTTCCTTTGCCAGATTGGGGAAATTCTCCTTTATTATTTGTTCGAATAAGTTTTCCACTCGTGGCTGTTCCTTTCCCCCTTCTGGTTCCCCTATAATTCGGATGTTGGAGCATTTAAAGATGTCCTGGAGGTTCCTAAGATTCTCCTCATATTTTTGAATTCTTGCTTCTTCACTCTTGTCTGTTTGGCCATTATTTGCTTTCTTCTGGTCCACTCCATTGATTTGAGTCCCCATTTCCTTTTCATCACTATTGGTTTCCTGTGCAATTCCATTCATTTCAATTAGTTTCACCTTCATACGTTTGTCTAATTTGTGGCTATAATCAACCAGCTCTGTGAGGATCCTGATCACCAGTGTTTTAAACTGTGGGTCTGAGAGTTTTGCTATTTCTTCATCGCTTAGATTTATAGGCTCTAAGGCTTTGAGATCTTCTTGAGCCATTTTTGGTCTGTTTGCATCCGTTAAGCATGAGGAGCGGAGCCTTGGACTCCCAGGTTGCTGGGTTGTGACTCTGTATGTGGAGGTGGGGTCAGAGCGGGGAAATGGGTAGCCCCCTCTGCTGTCGCTTACTGCTGGGGCTGCTGGCTCTTGTCCCATCGCCCACTCCCTTGTCTATTCACACACGAATGCGAGACCACAGTCAACCCGCAGCCCTCCTCCCTTGCTGTTTCTCCGCGATTGCTTGCTGAGTTGCCCACCAGGCCCAAACCTGCACCTGGATTTCTCGCACCTGAGTCCGTCTGACTGAGTTTTCCTGTGCTATCCAGCTCTGCCAGCTGCTGGTATCGCCCCTCTTACTGGTCAGGCTGAAGCATTTGTTGTTATCAGACTTCCAAAAAGTTCAATTTTCTGTGTTCTGGCTGTGTTTTCTATTGCTATTATTTAATTGTCTCTAAACTTGGTTGTATGTAGAAGCACGGCATCTCCACCTATACCTCCATCCTGGCAGAAGTCTTCAGAGTGTTTTTCTGGATTTTCTTTAAAAAAATATACAATTGGCCACCCATATTCTTGGGTTGTACATCAGCTGATTCAACCAACCACCAGTGGAAAACAGTGTTTTCAATCCTCAGATGGGAATCTGTGGATGTGAGAGCTGACTGTGTGCATTGTCCTACATCATTTTCACAAGAGACCTCGGCATCTGGGGATTTTGGATCTGCAGCAGTCATGAAACAAACTTCCTGTGAATACTGGGGAGGGATGTCTGTAGTTAAGATTTGGGGGAGTCCAAAGTTAGGATCGGCACCCCTAATCCCCTCACCATTCAAAGGTACTTGTTGATCAGTTATTGATCCATAAGTGTAAGCCTGCTGTTATGCAAATCACTTGCCAAGCAAACACTGTAGCTGTTGCTGGGGTAATTTTGTTCCAAATGAGGCAAACTCATTTCTAATTCTGAAAGGCCCACAATTAAATGCAGGCTCTATATGAAGGAAAATTAATGCTTTGTTTTGTGTTCCCTTTTAAATTTGAATAAAAGTTATTGAAATTGCATATAAAAAGGATAGTGGTATATTGGAATATGAATATATGTATATATATATTTCTATACATTTTAATGTTTAAATATGTTGTTCATTTTAACATTTGAAAAATATTTTATAAAATATTAATATTTTATCGCTTTAAATATGTTCTATAAATATGTTTAGAAGTACTTGTTGTAAATTTAAAGAACTGCTTTCTTTAGTATAGAGTCTTAGAAAAGAGAATTTACAATGAGTCAGTAAGAACAATTTTTATTTCTTCAGATCTTTTTATGACAGAGGCTTCCAGTTTACCCAGGTATAGATGGAGAGAAATATCAGAGAGATGAGGCTGTTTTCAACTTGTGAACCAGCTCATTTACTTGAACCCATGATCAGTCAGCTTTTCTAATTACTAAATTCTAATGTCAACTTTCGTTTAGATTTGTCTCATTTCTTAATAGAAAGGAGGAAAAGGTGCTTTTAATTAGTATATTAACCACTGATTTTATTTTTAACTTACAAATATTAAAATTGCTTAAAAAATACATAACAAGCCTTGGAAAAAAGCCTTGAATTCGTGGGTTTCTAATGTGCCAACGTTATGAACATCGTGACAGCAGTGGGGGCCTACCAGAAAATACAACAAACCATACAGATTTGTGTGGAATGAAACACAAGCTTGTTTTGGCAAAAGCTTGTTTTCTTCTTTCTCTTCTTACTACTTGCTCTCTGAGTAGTTCCCCAAATTCATGTTATGTGGAACCAAAACTACTTTGCATTTTCCTGTTGAGATAGAAGGTATGAAAAGGGAGGGCAATCACTGAGAATGTACATGCTCATCTGTTTTATCTATTTTTGATATATTTACAGATAGAAAACTGTTAAGATAATCTTTAGAGGGTATAGTACACAAATAGTTCATCTACAATGGTGCTCTTTGAAGCTGACTTTTTTTCTGATGCACTAAATGTTAAATGGCTAAATGAGTACAAGTAAATAAATCATATACTCTCTTTGGTCATTTTTTCTCTTATTTTGTTCCAAGTTAAACTCCAAGTTAACTAATTCTTTATATGAGTTAAACCATGCATTTTTTAAAGTCACAGAAAATAAACACTTTCAATTGAAAGCATATCTATATTGGCCTTTTTTTCAATCAGATACATACACCGAAATTTGAACTACCTACTGACAGAAAATGTGTTGAATTTAGGTCTTTTTTGTTCTGTGAATCACTGCTTAAGCCTAAGCCAGATCAGGCAACAAAATATTCAGGTATAATACTGATATGCCTCAACTTTTACTTAGCACTGTAATTTTCTGAGTTAGAAGAATGGAGATGAGAGCCTTGTACTCATGATTTAGGGACAAGAAGGAGTTAGAATTGTCCACAGAAAGTACTAAACAAAAACAGGGCCTAAAGTACTCTAACATCTGGAACCAATTCAAAGATACTTCCAAATGCAGCTCATTTTTCTAAAAATTTACTGTTTGTATACATTGATTATTCAAAGTAATTTTTTAGCTTCCACACATGGTTATTCACTTAGGGACTACCAGTTACACATTTGGTAAAGAGGAAGGAATGGGAAGAGTTAAGAAGACCTTTTCCCCCTGTGTCTTATAATGGCTTTTGTAGCAGTACCTTAATAACTGGATCGTCAAGTCACATAGTTAAGTAGACCATATACTCAAGTATATTAGATCCATTTCTCAAAGGATGAAGACACAGTTAATAAAGATCAGAGTGACTTGATCGGCTGTGCTCAAACAGGATATGCAGTCTTTGATTGTGTTAGTGGCCCACAGATCCAATCTATGCTGTTAGTGGTCCGCACAGATACAACCACACAAAGTTCCCTTCGTTTCCTTTCAACCTCTTTTTTGTCTTCACCCCTCCACCAATGTTGAACACTTTCCCCAGAAGTAACCTTCAGTCTCAAAGGATAATAGTCTTTTTGAAATTAACAGGAAATGTACAAACTGGTATTCAGAATCATTAAAATTAGCTGCTTCCCTTATCTATCCCACACAGGAAGATGAGCTATTATTACTTACACAATGTCACTCTTTTTAAAAATTTTATGTATTGATTTTGAGAGAGTGGGAGAGAGAGACTGGTTTGTTGTTGCACTTCTTTATACACTAATTGGTTGCTTCCTATATGTGCCCTGACCAGAGCTCTAACCCACAAGCTTGGCTTATCAGCTCTAATGTAGCTGAGCTACCCAGCCAGCGTCCACAATGTCTCTTTCATACCCCGTTTTACTTTCTTTTGAAGTTCTACTTTTGTGACTATTTTCATCAAATTTTATACACAATACATATGTATATGTTCAAGAGAGACAAGGATGTCTACTAGGAGAAAAGAGAAGAAATAAAAGGAATAAATACAAAGAGCACATTTTTTTGATGTTGCAGAACTTCTTGTGACCCTCTCACACTCTATTTGACAGCCAAGTTTAGAGTTCTTTCTATTTGTTTTTCAGGCACAACCTGGGTCAGTGAAATACTGGATTTGATCTATAACAATGGGGATACAGAGAAATGTAAACGGGGTGCAATATACGACCGAGTGCCATTCATGGAACTTATAGTACCTGGATTTGAAAACGGTATTTTCTCTTAATGTTCCTTTCCACCATAGGAGTAAATTCCACTCCCTCCTTTTTTCTGTGGTGTCTAGAGGAGTCCTGATAGAAAAGATGATACAGACAGAGCTCAAACAGCTGAATCATACATTTCTATAATAACCAAATAAGAATTTGGTTATTCTAACAACCATACTATAGTCCTCTTTCACCCAAAGATAATATCTGTATAAGAGATTTTGATGGGTATATTTTTTATTATCAGGTCAGGAGGAAGTCTTTAACATTTGAATATTAGGTGATCATTATATAAGAAAAATTTAGTGTTTCGTCCAATATAGAGTCATATCTGCTGCTGGTTAGCAGATGTCCAGAGACTCAAGAAAAATAATTGTGTGCATATAAGGTCTTACATTATCAAAAATTTTAAAAGTAGCCATGAAGCTCACAACTTTCAAAAAGTTAATATAAGAAAGTTGGAAAGAGATTAAGAAGTGCAAGTTGCCAGTTATAAAAATAGTCATGGGAATGTAAATGGTACCAGACTTAAACTGGAATTATTTTGTAAAATATTATAATGTATAATCCCCGTTGTATATATGAAACTAATATATTACATTGTATGTCAACTGGAATTAAAAACAAATTAAAAGAGATATTTTAAAATCTCAAAAAGGAAGCTGGAAAGACATTTCTTGCAGTGTAGATGAGACAATAAGAAAAATAAAGGCAAGAAAATTTTGACATTTTAAAATTTGACCTAGTGTTGTTGCTGCCTCATCAGGTATATCTGAATATTTTATAGACACTTATAAAGATAATAAACTCTGCTATTCATAGGCAATAAAACAGCCTAACTAATCAGGATTTATTACTTAAAAAAATGTCATTGCAGATTTTAGAATTTTATGAGGCCATTTAGCCATATAGCCATTTCAAGCCATGTAGTGGGGTTAAAGTTTACAAAGTGTTCGGCTCTATTGTAATGGACCTTTTTTGTTCCACATGTATAATATAATTTAATTTTTATGCTTGTAGGCATTGAGGCTTTGAAAAACATGCAGTCTCCTCGACTAGTGAAAACACACTTGCCTGTTCAACTTCTTCCTTCTTCCTTTTGGAAGAATAACTGCAAGGTAGCAAATTATATTTTTAAAAAATCTTCTTTTCTTAACGATTTTATTATTTATCTTTAGAGGGAAAAGGGAGAGGGAAATGTCAATGGCTGGTTGCCTTTCATGCTCCCCCTGCTGGGAACTGGCCTGCAAACCAGGTATGTATTTGACTGGGAATCAAACCTCGTTCCTCTGATTCACAGGCCTGCACTCAATCCATTGAGCTACATCAGCCAGAGGAAAAAAATCTTATTCATGTTGTAATTTATTTTACTAATTATGCAGATATTAAGATGGGGGATTTCAACCTCTGAGTAAATCACTGGAAAATTAATCATGTGGTCCCTATAGCCTAAAGATCAAGATACCAATGGATGTCAGTGCTGTTGGTAAAGGATTACTTGGTGCCCAAGCCCTGAGATTTTCTCAGGTTTTTTATTCTCTAAAATGTTTTTCTGTCTAAATTTCTTCATCAGTTATGAATAATATATATTTAAATAACCCTAGACTTGCTTATTCATTAATTCAGTATAGTAGCAATTTATAAATATGTAATTAAAAGAAATTATACATTATATTATAAAACATAATTATATTTAAGTTAGATAAGTGATATATAACATATAATATAAATTATTTATTAAAATTTGTACTTATATATTTATAGATATATATCTTTACATGTAAAATACAAAATTTATGGATCAGGTTTAGACTTCTTTGTTAATAATTATCTTAATTCAAAAGTAATATATTACTTTTATTACAAAAGGGAGAAAGTTCATATATTATGATCTATACCTTGATAAATTTTCACAAAGTGAGCATAACCATGAACCCAGCACCCAGATCAAGAAATTAGACACTACACCCTTGCTGGTGTGGCTCAGTAGATTGAGCTCTGGCCTGTGGACCTAAAGGTCTCCAGTTAGATTCCCAGTTGGGGCACATGCCTGTGTTGTGGGCCAGGTCCTGGGTGGGGTGCATGCAAGAGGGGACCAATCTATGTTTCTCTCACACATCATTATTTCGCCCCTTTTCTTTCTTTCTCCTTTCTCCTCTCTCTAAAAATACATAAAATATTTTTAAAAGAAACTGAACATTACCAACACCCAAAAAGCTCTGTTCCAGTACAATTCTAGGCAAGAATCCCTATCTCCAAAGATAATCCTAACCAGAAAGTTTTCACCATGAATTAGTTTGCTTGTTTTGTCTGTAATCATCAAATACATAGTCTTAAATATTTAGCTTATTTCATTTAACATGTTTGTGAGATTAATCCTTATCATTCTTGTCATTTTTGTTTCTGTTTTATATAATGTAGCCTTCTGGGTCACAAAATATGGTACCCTGGATAAAAGTAGCTCATTAGAAGTACCAATTCTCAGGTCTGATTCAGACCTACTGAATCAGAAACAGTAGGGTAGGGACCAACGATCTGGGTTTTAATAAGACCTGGTGAATTTGATTCATGCTAATGTTTGAGAACCACTGATATAAGGCATTTCATTATGTATTTCTGACTTACTTACTTTTTCTATTTCTATTGATATGATCATGTGGTTTTTATCTTTCGTTTTGTAAATGTTGTGTACCTGCTTAATGAATTTGCAGATATTGTACCAACCTTGTATTCCCTTGATCCTTTAAATCTAAACAAACCCTACTTCATCATGGTGTATGATCCTTTGAGTATGCTGCTGGACCTAGTTTGCTACTATCTTGTTGAGGGTTTTAGCATCTATTTTAATCAAGGTTATTGTCATGTAATTTTCTTTCTTTGTAGTGGCTTTATCTGGCTTTGGAATTAGGATAATGTTGGCCTCATGAAAAGAGCTTGGATGTCTTCCCTCCTCTGGATTTTTAAAAATAGTTTGAGAAGAATATGTGCTCTTCTTTGAATGTTGGGTAAATTCACCTTTGAAGCCATTGGGTCCAAGACACTTACTTGTTCATTGGGAGTTGATTACTGCCTTAATTTCATGATTTTTCATCAATATATTCATATTTTCTAATTCTTCCTGATTCAGATTTGAAACATTGTATAGTTCTAGGAATTTATCCCTTTCATTCAGATTACCCACTTTGTTGTCTTATTATTCTTCATAATATTTTTGGACAACTGTTTGTATTTTTTTGGCATCAGTTGTTATTTCTTTCTTTAACTATTTTATTTATTTAGGTCTTCTCTCTTTTTTTTTCTTGATGAGTCTGGTTAAAGGGTTTCAATCTAGTTATTCTTTCAAAGATCTAGCTTTTGATTTTGTTAATTTTTTATATTGCTTTTTAGACTCTATTTCATTTATTTCTGCTTTGATCTTTAGTATTTCCTTTCTTCTACTCACTTTGGTCTTTGTTTGTTGTTTGTTTAATTATTTGAGATTTTTCTTGTTTCTAAGTTATGCCTGTAATGATTTGAAATTCCCTCTTAGGACTGCTTTTGCTGTGTCCCATAGGTTTTAGTTTGTTTTGTTCTCACTTTTATTTGTTTCAAAGTATGTTTTGATTTTTTTCTTAATCTCACTATTAACCCATCCATTGTCTAGTAACCTGTTATGTAGCCTCTTTGTCTTTGTGTGTTTTTCAGTTTGTTTCTTTTAATTGATTCCTAGTTTCATACCATTATGTTCAGAAAAATTGTTTGATATAATTTCAATCTTCTTAAATTTATTGAGATTTGTCTTGCCTGCCAACATTTGGTCTAACCTAGAAAATGTTCCATGTCCACTTAAAAATATTGTGTATTCTAAAGATGTAGGGTGAAATGCTGTGAAGATACCAGTTAAATTATTCTGGTCTAGTATGTCATTTAAGGCTGCTGTTGCCTGTTTAATTTTCTGCCTGAAAGATTTATCCATTGATGTAAATGGGGTGTTAAAATCCCTTACTATTACTGTATTACTCTTGGTCTCTCTCTTTATTTATGTCCATCAAGATATGCTCTATATATTTAGTTGAATCTATGTTGGGTGCATAAATGTGTATAGGGTTATATTCATTTGTTGTCTTGATCCGTTTATCATTATGCAGTGTTCTTTGTTTCTTTATAGTCTTTAAAGTTTATTTAGTCAAATATAAGTATTATTTTTTGCAAGAAATCTTTTTTCCATCCTCTTAGTTTAAGTCTGTGTGTTTTTTAACTCTGAGGTGCATCATTTATACATTACACATATCTTGTTTTCTTATTCAATCAACTACCCTGTCTTTTGATTGGAAGTTTTAAGCTATTTGCCTTTAAAGGATCATTGATAGGGATATATTTATTGCCATTTTATCCTTCACAACTATCTTTCTCCTTTTTCCTCTTCTTCTTGTCTTCCTTCCCCTACTCCCTCTTCTTCCTCCTCAAGAAGATCCTTTACCATTTTTCCTAATATTGGCTTGGTAGTAAAGAACTTCTTCACTTTTTTTGTTTATGAAGCTCTTTATTTCTCCTTCAGTTTAAATGATAGTTCTTCTGGGTAAAATAGTCTTGAATTTAGGCCAGCCTTTTCTGAATCTCCACTATTGCTACCAGTCTTGATATATCTTCTTCTGTAAATCCTTTGGTGTAAGACTTCAGTTGGTTATTCAAACTGATTTTTCTATATTTTAGTTGCATTTTTAGTTTGTTTCTGGAAGGAGGCAAATGTAGGTTCCACCTAGTTCACCACCATCTTGGATCTTTTATTTCATTATATCATAACTCACTCAGTATTTCCTTTTTCAAGTTTAGAATAATATCTTAATTTTGAGATTAGTCAGTATGTCAGTATATATTTTTTCCACCAACATTAGAGTATTCTGTATTTGTTTCTAAATATGCCATCCCCCAGATCGTGATGATATTCTCTTTCCTGTTTACTTCTATCAGCTTTGTTGTTTCAATACTCACATTTAAATCTAAACATAGTTCATATCTATAATATAATTATTCTTTAAATATTTTGATATATTAGTATTCTTTATTTTTTCTCATGCACATGCTACATACACACCCTTAAATTATTTCCTAAATATTTGTTGCTAGTATACACACATGAATCTTTTATCCTGAAACCTTGATTGTCAGTATAAATGCAAACATAAATAAGATATTTTCTGTTATCTAAGAGTATATTGTATTATTTAATTTCTACAGATACTGTGCTGCTGAGCTTTGTCTGCTTGCAAGTCACTTTTCTATGCTACATTATGCAATGGTTTAAATAGCATATGGTCCTGCAAAGTACATCAAATAGTGGGAGAAATACATATATATGAAAAATAATTACATATTACTAACATAAGTGCTACCATGGGACAACACCATTCTATAGATGGAGAAAAAAATTGATCAATATGCTAAAAAAAAGAATAGGAGCTTTTTTTTTTAGATGCATTAAGTCATTTTACAGAGAGAAAATTCTGTGTACATAGGCTAGCAGATGTGAAACAACAATGTGTGTGTCAAGATTTACAAAAGGTTCAGTGTGGTTAAAAATGAATCTGGGATGGTAGGCAGTCATTAATTCTGAGAAAGATGTTTAGAGTATGCTTTACCACAATATCTTTAATGGAATGACCAAAAACATCTGTTGTTTTTCTCTTGAAATTTTTATTATAATTTCTGTTATACAAATAGCTTTTGTTCATGTGTCTATGTTTTCTTTTTTCACTTAAAGTCTAATAAAAAACAAAAGTGATAAGATAGTAAAAATAAAGTTTATCATTTTATTGAAGAAATAAAAACCCATATGAAACCTCACAATCTATGGCCTTGCTCTTGAGAGAGCTGGGGGATATCTTCTAGATACCTTCTGCCCACCCTGAGGCAAGTGGAAACAGACCTTCCTAAAGATTTTAAAGTGATAATGATAGGAAAAGAAAACAATTTGTTCATCACCATAACCTTTTGGTATTGAAATAGGAAGTGATTGGTAATGTTTATAAGGTTTAGTATTTTCTCACAAAATTACATCAGCAGCAGAGTTTCAACTGTTAGAACTCCATAATCAATCTTTTGAAAAATCCTTTTCCAGACATTCCCTTCCTTCTCTCATTCTTGTCCCAAAATATGAGAACTACTACCAGTGATTGGGAAATATAAAAGAATTCTCATTTCCTTTTTCTCTCAGTAGAAAAAGAAGAAGAAAATCTGAATTTGCTAAGCTAAATGGAGATTTCTTCCTGAATGCATCTTTCCTTAGAAATATTTTTACTGCATGTGTGGCTGGAAACTCAGTATTATTAGGTGTATTTCAGGAGAGAATGAGACTTAATGGAAATCTGCAGACTTGATGGAAAACTTAAGTATCAATGAGGGATAATAATGTCATTTCTATTGGGAAATATACTGAAAATTTCTGCGCATAAGCACATGGAAGGCCTTCAACATAAAATAAATTTTAATCTTACACTAATCATTGTAAACATGGACAGAATGAAGATTTATTGATGAATTTCACACAAATAATAACTTATTTTAGTGAAACATAGGTATTTTCAACTCTAAAAATCATTTATTTTTCAGCTTTGATAAGTGATGATGCAGAAAAGTATTCTAAATTTTAGAAAATATTAAGATTTTTAAATTTAATATTTATTGTTATTCTTATTATGCTTGTCTTTCCATGTTTTAAGAGATGTTCTTTTCAGAGGAAAGAGAACACCAGTGTCTGAGAGTTGAGAAGTTTTGCATTAAGACAATCACGTAGTTGTGCTTTCCTGTATCAGGACAGATATACACACCCAGATAAGGAAAAATAGAAGGAGAAAATAGGCCTTCTGTCAAGGTAAGCAAAAGTTTACAAACTATGAATGATAGAGAGAAAGTTATGATTTCTCATATTCCCTGCAGATGGTCTATGTGGCACGAAATGCTAAAGATGTGGCTGTGTCTTACTATTATTTCTACCAAATGGCCAAATTACACCCAGAGCCTGTACCTGGGAGGAGTTTCTACATAAATTCATGACTGGGAATGGTGAGTCTGACTCTTATTTTAATCAATCATGGAGTTTCACGATAAAAAGGTGGTTTTTTTGTGTTATTGTTCTTTTGTGAGGAGATATAAAAATTCAGATGTAATTTTGTACTTATTATAAACCTAATATGTGCCCAGCACTGCACTAATGTTTTAGGAAGACAATAGAAGAATACATAGTCATCTCTTCCCTTTAAGGATTTTTGAGGAATATGTGACACACAGAATTTTCAGCCCTTGGTCTCATTGTTTCATTAGTACTTGGTGACTACTCCTAGGTACTTTCTTCTCTTATTGTCTCTGTCATTTTATTGTTTTGATTTTTATTGAACTCTCTTTCCTTGAACTCTCTTCTCTTTACCATTCCTTCAGTTTTGTTTTATAAACTGAGAATTCTTGAATGAAGATTTTATCTTCAAAGTTTCCTTTTTTCCTATCTGTGTATCCTCTCTTTCAGGAAAACTTACTCATGCCCATGGTAGTAACTCTACTTTTTAATTCTCATATAAACATTTTCTAATAAATATGTTTATTTGCTTCTTTTCAAGGCAAATGCACCCAATGACATCTTGGAAATTTTTACTCCTGCCGTTGTTTGGACTATTTTCTACCCATAGAATATCTACTCATTCCTTTTTATTTCCTAAATATTTTCAAGTGTGTTTCCTAAGAACAAGGATATTCTCTTACTTAAATACAGTACTATAATAAAACCCAGGTATTTATATTGATATAATACCATAATCTATGGACTTTGCTCTTACTTTGTCAATTGTCTCAATAATGTTTTTTATAGTAATATGTACATAATTCTGGTCCATGATCCAATTCACAATCACTCATCACACACTGCATTTAATTGTCAAGTCTCTTTATTCTATGGTCTATCTTTGTCTTTTATGACCTTTACAATTGTCAAGGTCATAAAATAGGACACACCAGTTGTTTTACAAAATGTCGCTCAAGTTGTTTTATAAAATGTCACTCAAATTGGTGTTTGTCTGGTTTTTCTCATGATTATATCAAAGTTATGAATTTTTGGTGGACACTATAGAGGTAATGTGGAATCCTTATGAATCATATCAAGAAATACATGGTGTCAATTTATCATTTTCTGCTAACATTAACTTTGATCACTTAGGCTGCCAGTTACATCTACTGTGAAGTTGCTACTCTTCTTAGAACCAGACATAGTTTGTTTCCTCCAGAGCCCTTTCTTCACCTCTGCATCCCAGTACTATTCTGTCTTTGTTTTTCCTCTGCTATGAACATTTGTACTACTTATTGTCTGTACTACTATCTTCCATTTGCTCTTCTAGTTTTATTTGTCAAAAGTCGTACTCATTTGCTAAGGCTGTCACAACAAAAGTAGTGATAGTGAATTGTTGAAAACAACAAAAATTTATTTTCTCACAGCTTTGGAGCTCAAGTCGAAGATCAAGGTGTCCCCATGATTAATTTCTTCTAAGGCCTTTTCTTTGACATGTAGGTGGATATCTTCTCTCTGTGTCTTTACATGTTCTTCTCTCTGTCTATGTCTGTGTTATAATTACCTCTTGTTACAAAGAGACCAGTCTTATGGGATTAGGATATGTTTGGGATGTGAAAACTTTCCCCTTTTTTTCTTAGTTCTTCTGGATGGTAGAATGATTCCAATGACCTAAGGAAGATTAACAAAAAAATAAATAAAATTTTAATACAT